ATAATAAAATCAGCGACGATCCCAGGTTATTTCGATGGATAATGACGTCAATGGGTAAAATGGAGACCGAGACAGGGAAAGTGACCCCCGCCCTCAACTCTTTAGTTCAGGTGTGCAATCTCAGTTTTTAATTATTTTTTTTTTCATCGCATGGCCCTGGAAGCAGGGGTGGATCTAGGAAGTTTACCACGTAAAGGCCAGGTAGGATAAAATTGAAACGTAGTGTTTGACGAAGTCACGGTGGCTCAGTGAGTAAGGCGCTTGCTCGCTACTTGGAAGTCCCAGGAATTGGCGGCATGGTTTCCACTTGTTAGTAGTGCAGGGTGAATGACCTGACAAGGAACAGCGTCAAGTGTACAAATTGAAATTGGAATACGAGAAGCTCGTAGCCCCGCTGTCCGGGCAAAATTGACCTCATGGAATACTGCATGGCGTATTCCCGTCTTCATTAGCCTGGATGGAGAAGAAAAGTAGACTGTTAAACCCCATTTCATTTCATTTTAAATTAGGATGTTTGCAATGGTATATAGATTCAACTGTAAAACCCCTATTTCACTTCCACTAAGGATGTTTGTAATGGTATGTAGCAGTAGCAGTAGTATTAGTAGTAGCCGCAGCAGCAGCAGCAGTAGTAGTAGTAGTAGTAGAAGTCGTAGTACTTTATTATCTCACTAGTTATAAGTACAACATATTCAAAAATAAAATACACCAAGTATTAAAAGAAATGCCATTTATTAAGAATTATGTACATTATATAGAAAATAAATATCGGAGGAAAATAATTAGGCATAATGAAAAAAATAATAATAAAACAAACATAAGACAATCATTCTAAAATAAATATCTTACACTAGGGTAAAAAAATGGACGTAGGTTTTTTTTTAGCGGTGTGAATATGGGTACAAATAAAGTTTTTTTCCGGTTTGTAATTTTGAAAATTGTATGAAACACGAGAGAGAGAGAGAGAAGGAGAGAGAGAGAGAGGGGGAGAGAGAGAGATCGTAAACTGTATAATATGTTAAACTGTGTATAACAGGAAGTATACACTATCTGTATATATATCAAATATCAGTATATTATTATAATATATTTCACTGCCAAACGACTAATTATTATAACTTGTTCTCTATGTCATAACACACCCACATAACAACATTTATATACCATATAGATTATTACGTGACTGTGACGTAAATTCCGTTATTATATTGCCAACGATATATTACGTACATGTATGTTGTAACCGGTCCAAACAATGGCTCTATTATAGTTAGCTACAAAAGAAATGAAATGGGGTTTAAAGTCTTATTTTTCTGCACGAAAATGCGCGAGGTGGCTATATGGGGAAAATTCAGGGTCTTAGAGCACGAACGTGCTTCGAAATGAAAAACCCGTGCTAAGAAAATAAGAAAACCGTACTCTGAAACAAAAGGTGCGTAGTGCTCTGAAAAAGTGTAAGGTAGCGATGCCTCCTGTCCCCTAATGAGTGTTTCCCCTTGTCGTCGTCAGTTGTACGTTTACCTCTGGTAAAATGTTTTTTTAAATTTGTCTTAAATATTGGATATCAAAAGCCCATCCTTTCCTGGTAAAACGCAACATCAATGTTGATTTAAATTGACAAATAACTGTGTTTTCAATGTCGAAGACTTTGGATGAAACTGAGTTAGAGACTTAGCTACTTTAAATATTAACACAGGAATTAGATCTTTTGACACGATAAAATCTATTTCGGGGGATACACACATGGGAGACTAACTTATTTTACTTGAAATTTGGACTTGGATCACTTGGCTTTTAAGCCCTCTAATTGGTAACATTCATGCAAACAATATATTTTAAAATTTCGATTTTGTCTTCATTATGAAAAGTAACGCAATAATCAGCAGAAACTGAACAATATGGACGTCACTATATATATATATATATATATATATATATATATATATATATATATATATATATATATATATATATATATTTTGAGATTTTGGAAAAAAGTCATGTGCATCTTTTAAGATGATATATCACGGTTTATATAAACCAGGGGGGGGGGGGGGGTGGATGGCCGAATGGTTAGCACGCGCGCGCTGTATCATACGGTCTGTCATTGAGCCAACTGGCGGGGTTTCGATTCCCCGGTTGTACGTGACAAGGAGTGGGGTCGCCTGTCCAACCTCGTGGGTTTTCTCCGGGCCCTCCGGTTTCCTCCCACAGCTAAAGACCCCTACGCGCAAACGAATTATTGAAATAAAATTGAACCATGTATTAGTCCCGAAATTACCTAGTTTGTGTCGAGTGGACTTTAAACCCCATTTCTCCCTCTCTATATATAAACCATTTATTTGTTTATTGCGCATATGTACAGTCATCTTTTCTTTATTTGCACCGTTTGCACAAGAAAATCTATACAGGTCGTATATGGTGAGACTATCCGGATATTTACTCTTATATTTGTATATAGATGTTTGTAGATTGTTCACTATATTGTTATGTAATGTAATAATAGCGTGAGAATGTGTATAAAAGACCTGATCTTCCCATGGAACTGAAAGCGCTAGTCGCATAATATACTCTGTTTCTTTCCTCAACACTTTAATGTACATTATATACAAGCAATAGAGCAGATCATCGATTATAATACATGTATTTATACACATTAAATTGGGGGGTGGATGGCTGAATGGTTAGCGTGCGCGCGCTGTATCATAAAGTCTGTCATTGAGTCGACTGGCGTGGTTTCGAATCCCCGGTTGTACGTGACAAGGAGTAGGGTCGCCCGTCCAACCTCGTGGGTTTTCTCCGGGTCCTCCGGTTTCCTCCCACTGCTAAAGACCCCTATGCGAAAGCGAATTATTGAAATAAAATTAAACCATATGTTAGTCCCGAAATGACCTAGTTTGTGTCGAGTGGACGTTAAACCCCATTTCTCTCTCTATATATACACATTAAAAGAAATAAATAAAAATACACCCAGTTAAAAAATCGACCACTTTCTTTTCTTGGTTCTGATATTACATCAAATCATGAGACAGAGAGAGGGAGAGGTGGGGGGGGGGGGGTTAGCGGCCACTCATATATATTTACAGCGTAGGTCGTATTAGAATGATTATTAGAATGATATGATGACTGGTTGCACTGTATCGTATCATGGGATGGTTTAAGCATGTGACTGGTTTACTTGCATTGCAACTGTTACACCATATTATCGAGTCCATTTTAATTCTTAAAGCTTTTGTATTTTATACTCTGGTTACATATAATTTATGCTTGCATTTTAAATGATTCAATTTTATATTTTATAGCATTTACATGAGATTTTCAATTAATGTTCATTTACTGCTTATACATATGTTGTATTTTTTGTGTTTATTATTCATTTTCTGGAATTATCTATTGTATTTTAAATAATTTTATCATTCAGATATTTTATGTTAATATTTACTTGTATATAAAGCCAACAGAAACACCTTGATGAAGACACTCAATAAAAATGTTCTGTAATAAATAATAAGTATAGCGATTGAGAAACACGTGTGACTTGTCGAAACGTCGTGATTGTTTCCCCATAAAATATGTGTTCCGTTAATAAATAATTAAGAGGAGAATGATGTATAAGTTTTAATAGTTGGAGGACGCATGCCGTGGGTGAAGTTATTCTGATACAATATCAATATCTGTATCATAACGGGAAGATAACAGGAAACCCATACTCGTGATAAGTATGAAAAGCTTTGTATTCATTACTAGATTTCACATTGATATCTGGGCCAACTAATTTATTAATCGGAGATTTCGATTTGCTTCTAAATTAAGCAACAATTCTAATATCCATATCGCGAATCTTGATGGTATCTCAATTAAACCACTACTATTAATTTATGGATAACAATATCTATGGTTGCTTAAAATCCAATTCATAATGAAATACCCAAACAAATAAAGGTGCTATCTAAAATTTTATGGGAAAAAATCACTGGTTTTATTATCATAACACGACGTTTCGACAAGTATAATAGTGATTGTTTCCCATAAAGATGGTGTTCGTTAATGTGCTTCTCAATCTCTAAATGCAACCTAAAGAAGGTGTTATCTCTTGTGAGAGTTACACCCTTCTTCATATCGAAGCTCTACCCAAAGATCCGTCCCCCCCCCCCCAAACACACACACATTCATTCAAATAGTCTCCTATACGTTTATGCTCCACTCATAGCTTTCTAGATCATATTAATAAATCGGCCTAAATTATTGCATTCAGCAATATATGTATATTTTATTTTAAAATTAAATAGTAAGTAGGACTACAGGGGGGCCACACCACACATAAGCAATTACACAAGACAAACCTACGGACCGGACACAATATACACAACAAATGCACATATCAGATCAAGTGAGTGACGGGGCTCAGGCACATCGTTGTAAAGTCCCGGGCTTGTATTGAAGACTGGTTATTATAAAAGTACTGGTTGGTTTCAGAATTCAGAACTATTAAATAAATGATATAATTCAATTCTATATCATGTTGCTAAATAAATTATCGTGCATAACAATATTATACGCCAAAAGTTAATTGACAATTTAAGGCAGGAAAACAGGACAAGAAAATACAAACTGAACAAACGGTTCACGAGGGACAACAGACGATAAAATTATAACTAAAACATTATCAAGCTTATTTCATACGGAAGCTTATATTGTTTCGGTTTAAATCCATTGTGTTATATATAGGTCTAGTAGCTTCAGAATTGTCATAAAAATATTGGCCTGTAAGATTTTAAACATAAAGTATAAATTTTATCAAAGAAAAAGTTTTTAATAGAATTAAGTAAATAATCTTGATGACATAATAGTTAAATCGACTAAACTTTTCCTCAAGGAAATGAACAACATAGGCTACTGACAGTGTGACAAATCTCCTATATCTAATATTATATTAAAATAAATTGTAAACACTACACTATCTCTACCACTCCTTTTATCAGTCAATAAACTCTATATGTTCCGAAGAATGCCGATCCTTTCCGAAACCGAACATCTGGACTCGGAGATAATCCACGTCTGCTCCAATTTCGTTCTGCACGCTTGGCGCGGTTAGCGCGTGTTGATTGCCAACCAACCCCGGAAATGATGGCTGCGAATGCACAAGTCGTCCGGTGCCCGCATCCGCTCAATTTGAGAGCTTTTCCCGGATATAAGTTTACATTTGTAAGCTGTAACTAGCAGACGACCATGACGTGGATGGCGGGACATCATTTATGGTAAGTAAAATACGTTATTTGTCTCTTAATTCCACGTAAACTGTTCTCAAAATTCGACCCTGTTGCCGCTAGCTAACGGTATTATCACGCTTGGCTTCGGACTAGCTAGATCCATGGAGTCGACTGAACTTCACTAAACTCGAGCGAGCTAACTAGCACGCGGGTTCTATTTCCGATAAATACAACTAAAAACCTATCTAAAGTTTGGCTGTTGGTGAAATTAATGAACATTAGATATAGTTGATTTAGAATGGAGAGGATTTAGGGTGTTCGTGTCAAATCGGGGCCAGGGTTGAGTGGTATTCTATATTCACAGTGCACTGATCTTCCGAGGGCAATATACATGGATATTCCACAGTTATATACCACGGTTGGGCTATAAATAGCCCTGGCATATCAATATACGCGGTGTACGGCTATTGAAATGTCCCAGCATGGCAAGCGAGTAGGAAAACGGTCACGTGATTTGGTCCGTATAGGCTGAGCATGTACACTTGTGTATAGGTCTACACTACAAATGGTACATATATTCAATGTATAGATATAAATATACTCAACTTGTCTATATATATATATATATATATATATATAAATATTACATTAGTTGCGTCTAGATATTTAATTAATTGGGATTTTGTTTATTGTCAGGTTAATATATAAAAGTATATATTTTTCAAAGTTTACAAATATATTTAAGTAGATAACCAGTTATCTTTACAACTTCCAGTTTACCTTAGTCATGATTTTGATTAAAACATTTTATTTTAAAGTGGCATACATGATATCTTACTGTTGGTCTGGATTTTATCTGACAGAAATAAAAACAAAATGGGTTTGATGTCCTACTTTTATCCACTGGGCTAATGAAGATACAATGTGCTATGAAGGAAATTTTGCCGGGACAGCGGCACTATGGCCTCTTATTTCAGATTCCAACTGTGGACACGGTAACATTAGTTTTTAAGAGCAATAACACAATTAATGCAGTTTTAAAAATATTGTTCAAGTGGTATTTTGAGAGCCACAGCGGCATGTGGGTCAGTGAGTAAGGCAATGGCTTACAAACCATTCTGGGACTGAAGGGTGGGGGGTATATGCCCGGGTGCGGCAAATTATTTACATTGTAAGTGCATACCAGAAATATTCAAAGGCTCGGTCAGTAAGGCAACAACTTACTGATCATTCTGGGACTGAGAGGGGTGGGGGCATATGCCCAGGTGCGACAAATTATTTACATTGTAAGTGCATACCAGAAATATTTAAACAGAAATATTCAAAGGCTTAGTGAGTAAGGCAATGGTACTTACTAATCATTCTGGAACTGAGGCAGAGGGGGGGGGGAGGGCATTGTAAGTGCATACCAGAAATATTTAAACAGAAATATTTATGGACTAGCCTCCTTGGAGCCTGAGATAACAAATCAGTTGCATTTAGTTGCTCCCAGTTGCCGAAACGCCAGTTGCTTTCAGTTGCAAGGTCGACATAAGCCCTCCCCCCCACACCCTTTAAACCCTTGTTTCTTTCTGGTTGATGATCAGCATATAAAATATTTACTAAACAGAAATATTTAATAAACTGTTAAAACAAATAGATTTTGCCAGCCCTGTTTATCTTGTCAGTTTACTGGAATGAAATGTAACAGGGTTTATAAAATCAACACAAACTAACATATAATGGCTGAATTTTATTTCAATACTTAGCTTGTGCATAGGGGGTCTTTAGCTTTGGGAGGAAACCAGAGGATCTGGGCTAATGAAGAATGGGATACAACATACAATGTGCTAGGTTGTGCTACAAGCTACTCTTTAGAATTGTAACCAGCAAGGGTTCTTTTACGTACATGCCAATGGGAACATGTGACCTTGATTTTTTGTCTCATTCAAAGGATTAAACGCTGTTTCTTGTCAGGCCCTCTGCCAGCACAACTGACAAAGGGGAAACCACGCAGGAAAATCCCGAAAACCTTTGCGGCCAACATGTGGAGCAAAGCCCAAGACCTCATAGTTAGGGATCTAAAGCCCTATGTACTGTGCCACATATGGTTAACACATGTGGAACTAGCAATTAACCCGTAAGCACTTGGTACATGTGGAGCATCAACTAACACTTTGGCACTTGGTATATGTGGAGCTACATGTATCAACTAAATCTTTGGCACTTGTTACATATCAATATTGACTAACTAGTCCCTTGAAGACGAAAATAATAGAAAAGTGATGCATTTCTCACCGGAGATACATGTACATGCCATACTTGTATATCCTTTAACATTCCGAATAGATGATTAATAAAACGACTTGAACAAAAGTTAGAAATTCTCTTAAGTGAAAAATTACTGTAGAAATTGGAAGGGAAAAATTACTGGAGAAATTCGAAGTGAAAAATTACTGTAGAAATTTGAAGTTAAAATTACTGTAGAAATTTGAAGTTAAAAATTACCATAGAAATTTGAAGTTAAAAATTACCGTAGAAATAAAAAGTAAAAAATAAAAAATTAATTATAGATAAAAAATTAAAAGGTAGAACTAAATAATAATATCAGTTGAAAATTAGAACTTAAAAGTTAGAAATTAAAAGTTAGTAATTAAGAATTAGAAATTTAAAGTTGGAAATTAAAAAGAATACGAATTGAGCATTTACATGAATAAGAGTTGGAGTTAGAAGTTGAAATTATGACAGGGTTTCCCCTCCATACTGAACTTCCTCAGAGTGCCATTTACGATGTTCATGGGGTGCCATAGCCATTCATGTGACGTGGCTGGTTTGGAGAAGTACATGTATAAGGGGCCCAAGTTACCGGTGATTTCTTCCTTGGGACATTTGTAGTTGGACAATCCTCCCTACACCACTGAAAAAGACAACCTATGCTGGAAAATCCTGCGTAACCCATTAACACTGGAATTGAGATCATGGATAGAGAGTTAGCATCTAACTCACTGATCCACTGAGGCTCGCATTTTTAGTAAAATAATGGTTACGTAATGACTCGAGCAGTACGTAATTTTAAAATATTGGCAAATCTTTTTTACTGCATAAACGTACTTATATGATATTTAGAGTTGTGTTTAGTATTTTACATGTACATCATTTAAAATCAATATTATCTTGAAATGGAACCTGTTATCATTACTTGATACAATAGATTCTATTATAAGATATTTAAACAGTTACATGTGCATGAAATCTACCTATTGTTGAATTTAAATGTTATATTAATTATTAAATAGGCCTTTATTCACATGAAAAACCTATAAGCAACTATCTAGAACATCGGATGGACGTGATATTGAATGGAATAAAACACAATATTGGTAATAATGATGATACAGTATTTTATATAATTTGTTTCAATGGTATTTCATAATTGAATTGGAAATATATAGGTCACCAGAGGCATGTCCAGGAATTTGAGCAGCTGGGGGTCCAAAGTGGAGATAACGTCCAGTTTGGTGTTTACATGTAGGTCGGGGGAACTACCCACGAATTTGATAAATTCAGAAGCTTTGACCCCCCTCTGGAAATGCACCTGGTCATATCTATCTCTGATATAAAATGATGATCAGACATGATAGATAAATACTGGTACATGTAAACAACAACACTTAAAGGTCACCGGAAAAGTTTCATAAATTTTTTAAATAAAGCAGGTAATTATGTCAACATATCCTTTCCATAAGTATAACACGAACCCGAATGTCAATATTACCTGCAACAGGTAAATTTCAACGTTAGCAATTTCCGCCATTCTCGTGGGTAGTCGTAACTTTCTGTAAATGTGACGTCATTTTAGTCCTGCTCATATTCTAGTCTATATTTCTATGTGCAGAAGGACTAAAATGACGTCACGGATTGCTTATTGACGGAAAGTTCCGACTATCGACGGAGAACGGCGGAAATTAATAATGTTGAAATTTACCTGTTGCAGGTAATATTGACGTTCGGGCTCGGGTTATATTTATGGAAAGGATATGTTGACATAATTACTTGCATTATTTAAAAAAAAATTGATGCTTTTCCGGTGACCTTTAAACACACATTTATGTGAGAGCTAAATCTGTCCTTTGCAGGTATCAACTACTGTATTAATAAGACATTTATTAACATGACAAGACCATAATCAACTCTCAATGCCATAGGATGGATCTGATTTTAAGCAGATTAGAATGGTTCAGCCATTTAATGATTTACTTTAAAAATGATGAAGTGATGCTTAGATTGAACAACCAGTATGGTAGTAAATATTAGTGCACACATCTTGTCAAACTGTCAAAGGCTAATTAATACATGTATCTTCACTCAGAATAAAGTAATTTGATTGAAATTTTCAATATAAACATTTTGCATTTAGAAATATTATAGCAAATATTTTTCGGGTGGTTATTTCCAATAAAAGTACATGTATGGTAATTTTGGTATATATGGAGAGTAGAGACACCCAATCTTACAAGAAAAATACTGGATTCCCTGGAAAAACACCCATGGAGTGACGTCAAATGTTGCACTCATAGATTGTCTGACCTCTTTGCATTAGGGAGTGCTTAATGTATACATGTATGTTGATAAACAGAATGGCGAGCGGATATGGAAAAAGTGAGAGACTTAAACATAAAACAGATTCTAAGACTAAACTGCAGAACAAGAAGTAGGCAGGAGATAACCCCAGAATTTACTTAGGCTTTGGTATTTATGGTGAATGGACAGCAATTAATGACAACATTGTCTTTTATATGCAATGAATTCTCACTTGGCTTGGCTGGTTTTCATGACCGGTGAGTCAAGTGACAAACATGGCTTCTTTAAATAGATTTTTTATAGCTTTGGGTATTTCCTTGCGAAAACAATGTTTTGAGATTGATTTGAATCATTACATTTCAGTGTGCTATAACTATATGTATGAGGCAAATTTTGCCAGGACACCGGTGCTACCGCCTACTCTTGCATTGAATTCCAACTTCCAAGGGATCTTTTATGTGGATGCCAACATGTGCATACATGTAGGACCTCGTTTTTTTTTATCCCATCCGAACAACTAGATACTGCCCTTGCCAGGATTTTCGACCTACTCTACTGCTAAGGTGGTTCCTTTAGGAACAGTCTCTGATTGAATGCTGTCCGTTGACCTTTACTATCCATCCCTATATGGCTGCAATATGAAAATAGACAGGCAACTCTACTCCTTGTCATGTACAACCGGGGAATCGAAACCATGCCAGTTGACTCCATGACAGACCGTATGATACAGCGCGCACATGCTAACCATTATTGGGCCATCAAACTCCCCAACCTTAAAAGAAACACCGGGTCAATATATAGGACTTTGCAATGGGTAACTTGCTGTCAAAAATGATGTATCACTATGCCGTAATGTAGTTGGGTTCAGTGCAATTAAATCTATACCAAAGAATTATATTTACTTATTTGTGTGTGCAAGAAAGGGTTGAGCGATAAATAAAATCTTTTTTGATTTCAAAACCTTTTTTTTTTACTTTATTGACTTGTGTTGATATTTTTTCATATCAAAAAAGACTCGTAAGAGATTCTCTATTATACTCAAAAAACGCAAAATAAGAACCAAAACTAGATAATCACTAGGCTTTGATTCAGTGGGATTTAAACTAGGCCCATGCTGGTGTTTTGTTGCGCTTAAGCAGCATAGATCTATGAAATTTCAATTTATCATAACTTTGTAAATACTGAATGGAATTGAACCATTTTTGGGCTAATTTCCTACATCTGTTAATGATTAAACATTCACAATATTGTAGTTTACAACAGATTCTGATATTGCTAAATGAATTATTTATAGTGTCTTTAATACATGTATTTGTCATCTGTTTAGTGATGGGGGGAGGGAGACATCAACCTCACCACTGTTTGTGCATGATTTTCCCCTTGTCAGTACAGAGGGTCCGACAAGAACAGCTGTCCGGTCGTTTGGATGGAATTAAAAACCGAGGTCCTATGTACACATTGGCTTGCACATAAAAGATCCTTTGGCAGTTGGAATTCAACATAACATTGTGATGTAGCGCCGCTGTCCGGGCCAAATTTCCCTCATAGCACACTGTATGGCATATGGCCGTCTTCATTTCCCCAGTTTGAGCAGAACAGTAGGATGTTAAACCCCATTTTATTTCACCACTGTTTTGTTTATAATGTGTGAGAGTAATTGGTAGAATATAGTTATTGTATCAACTAGGTGGGGTCTCAATTTTATAGAAAGTTTTCTAGCATTGAGGAAGTTGGGAAAGTGATAAAGCAATATAAGGAAACATGTAGTTGATCTTCCTCAGTGAGGACAAAACATTACAATCACATGATCATATGACAAATAACTTTTGCTTAAAGATGCTTTATTTTGGTCGTTCTTGCTGTAATAGTTCAAAAATAGATAAGGAAAAGTGAATATATTGAACATTTCTGTCGATTGTCTGAGTGATGTTATGATAGTCTCGATTGTCAAGTACTATTTGTATGATAATAAACAAAGTCTTGATTTTATTGTTAAGTTATTAAATGGCATATGTTTCTAATCCATTCAATATCACAGCCATCCATGTTAATAAAAGTCTGAAAAATAATCTATATACATGTAACATTTGAAGCCATAAAAAAGACTTACATTCGCATAGTACCTGCAAGAAACAGTGTGTAGTCATTCTGGTTGTATGGGTGGTATGAAAAACACACCAAGGGCCTTACTGTGCACATAAAATAATTTTTGTCAATTGCCAGGCAATAGAACATTAATTTGCATGTCATATGGCTAGCCCTATTGTTATTGGCCTAGTTGGTATAGAAAACTGTGTGGAGGATAAAGCAAGATATTGAAACTTAGATGTATTCAATCTGATTAATATTTCGTTTCTTATTTTATACTTTTGATGGCCTCTACTATATGAAGATCTGACAGGTTGTATTGGGAGGTCGTGTCAGGGGTCTTATGAGCAGCCTTTGACGCTTTAACGTCAGACATTTGATTAACCAATCAGCGTTGATGTTTCTAATGGGATACCCACAGTTCAGTGCGCCACATGCAAAGAACTTACCGTAACAGACTGTTCCATTGGCTTATCCCTCACATCACCCAGAACGTTTGTTAAGTTTGTTATATAAGTAAAACGAAATTTAAAGTATAAAAATCGAAACGAAGTAGGATGTTTGTTTTAATCAGATTGAGATGTATTACAGGGGTGCTTTGTGTTTACTTTCCCTCTTTCTCTGTCTCTATCTCACTCACTCTGCTGAATATACTAGTTGGTACAGAAAACCATGTGGATGATATGGAGTAAGATATTGAAACTTAGGTATGTTATAGGGTCCTTTGTGTCTACTTTCTCACTCTCACTCACTCTGCTGAATACCAACCTGCAGATGAATAATTATGAATAATTAAAACAAACTGTATGTGTTTGTCCTTGAAAAATGACCTGGTTTGTGATGGCAGTTGTTAAAGGGGCATTACGGAAGTTTAGATAAAGAGCTGACAGTTCTTGCTATAATAGCCTTGAGTGTCATTGTTACCGTTGTTACGAAAGAAAGTCTTGATTATCCATATTTAAGGTTAATCATGAACAGCCGTTGCAACGCAGATCGTATTCAAATCTGTTTAAAATCGTAACCAACAAATGGCATCAAGAGTTTATTATGGTCTTGTTGCGTTAATAAATGTCTAATTAATATACATGTATAACATTTAAGGCCCCAGGAAAGATCTGCATTAACCAACTTAGCTCTTGCACAGTGTAGGGGCCTAGCTTTAATAACTCCATAACTATTCAAATACCCAGCAGTGTGTTTATAGAAATTTGTCCAGTATATCCTGTTCAGTTTGTTTAATTGAATTGTGTCCTGTATTATCCAGTTCAGTTTGTTACTCATTAAATCACATTGAAGCTGTTTATTAAACGTCAGTATGGAAGGTTATTATTAAAAGCTGTTTATTCTTATCCAAAATCAGAATGGTAAAAACTAGTGGATTCTAGTCAAAGTGTCTCTCAATAATTTCATGATTGACTGTAACCAATAATCACATGATATATTGTAACCAATAATCACACGATTGACTGTAAGCAATAATCACATGATTTACTGTAATCAATGATTACATGCATACTGCACGCAGCGACCCATCTACGTCATACTTCCCAGAATGTGACACTGCCCTAGTTAGCCTCCATTTAAAACGCACACGTGATCATTTTGGGGCGGGACTTATCGACGAAACACCGTATTGTTTAGACAACAGAGTAAAAATAACCCACGCACGTGTGTTTTATGTAAACACGCCATGTCGCTGACACTCGCGTAAAAGCGATATATAATATGTGCTATGGGTAATATTGCAATAAATTCTTTACCATTGTAAACTGTATTTAGAGTTTCAATCTGTTTATCTTTCAAAACAAGGTTAGATACTCCTAAATTTGTTTTCGCAAACAAAACCGCCTCTGTGAAATTATCTGTCATACGCGCCGCCATATTGAATAATTAGGGAACTTTTTTGTGATTCGGCTCTGATTAGTTTGACATCTTTCATACACACAACGGCTAAATAAACATATTTAATTTCATTCAATATAACAATAGAAGAAAAATAAATACTTCTAAAAATTTCTAAAAGCATACTCAGTGTTTTCGACTAAATCGTCGATGTAGGAATTAAAATGTCGGTTAATTAGCTTAGGCCTATTCTCAGCCGGAGCTAGCTGTAGATAGGCAGCCTAAGTTGGGATGTGATTACATGATGGTATCCATTTCAAAAACAGTTTGACCTTTACCAATAATTTCATGATTGACCTTTACCATTAATTTCATGATTGACCTTTACCAATAATACCATTAATTACATGATTGACCTTTACCAATAATTTCATATTATTGATATTAAACAATAATTGACCACAAATATTGCTATTGGACAATCATGATGATATTGCTATCAGTCAACTGCCAAGGGTTCTTTTATGTGTACGCAGGACCTTGCTTTTTAGTTCTATCCAAACGACTATACATGTAAGTGGTTGTCCCATGCCCAGGCACTCTATCCTGCATCACTGACAATGCGGAACCATGTTGGAATATCTGATGAACTTTCTCAGTTAACGCAGAGATCGAACATGGGCATGCACCATACAGTGTGCTATCAGGGAAATTTTGCTTGGACAGTGGCGCTACGACCTACTCTTGTATCTTGTATCTAATCCCATCCGAATGACTAGACAGCTGTCCTTGCCAGGCCCTCCATCCTGTATCACTGATATGAGAAAACCCCACTGGAATATCACAAACTTCTTGGCTGAGACCAGGAGGGAATATGTGACCTCCAGGCTAGCGAGTCGGCATCTTGCTCACTGAGCTATCATTGATCCCCCACAGCTGAAGACCCATATGCGCAAATGAATTATTGAAATAAGATTGAACCATATGTTAGTCCTGAAATGACCGGGTTCTCTCTCCCCCCCCCACCCCCAAGAATATATGTTTTGTTTTTTTGTAATAGTTTATTTCTTTTGTATTTTTCAGATTTGGTAATTCTGTTAATCAATCTGTGAATGACGACAAAAAACAAGATGTTGGTAGCGGAGCGGGAGCTGATCTCTCGCTTGTTGAAGCAGTCAATTCTGACACTGTGTCGTGAAACGATGTCTCAATACAAACTAGAGGTTGATGGCATCGTGTGCATCAGCCTCGAGAATGACACCCATCCTATCGTTATAAAAGTTCACGAGGAAGTTGGAACCGAACCTGGTGGGAGTTCTCTGTGGAATTTTAAGAAAAGTGACAATTTTTTAAAATTAGAGGCTAATTATAGTGATTACTCTGGTGCACAATCAAGTGAACTTAAAGAAAGACTTTTAAGCAATAGTCCAAAGATTAAAGACTTTGGTGCTAGTGATGATGACCAAGATGATGCATCCTCAACTGCTGATAATCTTTATTCTTTTAAGAAACTTAATAAGCCAGACTTTTTATCAGCGACACGAAGTCGACTAAACAGCGGCTATAATCAGAGGAAGTCGAAACCAAATAAAATAGAGACTAATGCTTCGGAGGACGTTGGAACAGATTCTCCTCAGCCTGATGGAGCAGTTGATAAACAGAAATACGAATATGACTTTAACGATGATAGTGCCTTAAGCAATTTGCCTGATGACGATAACGGTCTTGCAATTATCCCAGAAATTCTGCCTTCAGTCTCTCGTCCTGGAGTTCCAAACACAATTCATGCTCAAAGCGCTGCTATCAGCCATCCTGATGGCTATGTTTGCAAACGTTGCTTTCAAATCCTGCCCGATACCGGTGCCTTTGAATCCCATAATCTACGTGTTCACTCGCTTTTCACTTGCCGAACCTGTTTTAGGGGCTTCACGGCTAGAAACAATTTAAAACGTCATATTCGTCTGCATACTGGCTTCAAACCTTACAAGTGTCAAATATGTAACCAGGGTTTTACTCGCAAGGATGACCTCAAAGGTCACGAGTTACGTCACTCGTACAAGAAGCCTTTTCGGTGCAGCATCTGTGCCAAGGGCTACACAGATCGGTCTTGTGTAAGGAATCACATGGCTAAAGAACATCGAGTTAAGCTTCTTCATGTTTGTCCACGATGCGGTGAGGGTTTCAGCAGCTCGCATGAATTTACGGAACACAAAAAATCTCATCCTGAATTCAGCGACTATCAGTGTACATCATGTGATTTTATTGGCATCAATGGACTTATGTACATAAAGCACCTGTTGACTCACCAGACCAAAGTCTTCAGCTGTAAACCCTGCCAGCAGTCCTTCAAAGATCCCTTTGACTACACCAATCACCTGAAGCTTCACCGTGGAGATGAATCTTTTAAAGCCTATATTTGCTGTTTCTGTGGATCTTGTCAACATACTTATGATCAGTTTGTTCGTCATGAACACTCACATGCTCAAATGAAGAATCACACCTGTACCATTTGCTCCAAGAGTTTTATTTATCCGTCAAGTCTCAAGGATCACATGTCCACACACAATCGTAACGAAGACGATGACTGCAGCGATTATTGGTGCACTGAATGCCAGACTGGGTTTCCAACAGAGGACACGCTTGAGGATCATATCCTCACCACTCACGAGTCAGCAAAACCAGATATTGATGATAGCATGATGGACACATCAGATCCTGGTTTACTGGATCCAGATGATGATTCCAATGAAGCCTTCCCATCCCCTGCTGTACCACAACAAGGTGAAACAGATGAGCTACACCACACAGAGTCTGAAGAACTTGAGAGTGATGTTAATGTCCTTGCCTCTTCTTACATACCTTTTCAGAAGCCACCAAGTATAATACCAAGAAAGAACAGGTCAATATTGCCCCAGAAAATTCCAAAGAATTCTTCTGGTGGTAGTCCGTTAGACAGATTTAGTCCCCCTCAATCACTGAAGAACAGCTTGCAGAGAGGTCCACAAATGAAAACAACAGAACTGGTACCTTGTATGGTTCTCTCACCCTTTCCCCGCAATTTTGCCTTAAGCAATACCTCTACAAGTTATGCAAATTCCTCAGATCCTGATGCAAATAAAGAATTGGAGGGTAAATCACAAGGCAGCAGCAGCAACAACAACAGCAACAGTACTGTCACCTCAAATGATGGTGCATCAAGTTTCAAATACCCAATAAAAGATGAACCAAACTCGTATGAAAATGGAGCTGATGATTCTCAGGGGAACTTGAATATTTCTATGTTAAAACAGGAGCAAGATGATGAGTATGATGCTAGTCGAGATGCTTCAATGGATGGAGCTGAAAACAAGGAGATGGCTTTGGAGAAGGTGCACATTAGATCCCCAGGATTTGAACGTGTTGTTACCCCGAGTTGCCTCTACAAGTCCCACACTTCTTTCGAGTGTATGGAGTGTGGGAAAAGCTACACCGATTTCGGTCAATTTGAAAGTCACAGCGCCATCCTCCATCGACGATTTCTGTGTGAATTCTGTGGAAAAGTTTTTACAGCAAAGCCGAATCGGGATCGTCATCTAAGATACCACACTGGAGAACGCCCGTATAAATGTGGATTATGTGAAGCATCATTTTTCAGGGGAGACGATCTGAAATATCACCGAACGACTAAACATGCAACCGTAAAACCTTTCAATTGTAATGTTTGTAATTTATCATTTGCATGGCCAAAAGATCTAGAACGTCATCGAAAACAGAAGAAACACTTCATGTAGATTGTTTGGGGTTTAAAGGACAGGGTTGGTGTCCACCAATATTACGTATGTGATAGAACTGGTTAAACACATTCCAAATATAAATTTAACTCAGAGATCATTGCTATGATAGATTTGAAGAAACAGGAAGTGGCGCAGATAAAAGGAAAACACAGGTTTTCCTGATAATTAACCGACTGGAGTAGAGCAATAACAGATACGCGGTCAAATTTCACCTCATTGATAATTTTGTTGCAAACGAAAAGTTGTTATATGAGACTGGGAAGGAATATCTGTTCGAATTCATGAAAATAATTGATTGTCACTAGATAAAGAGAAAGCGAGAAAAACAGAAATAGTCCATGGGTTAGGCTACATGTACCTCGTTTTTATTAAGTCTCTACAAATTTTAAGTAATTATAGTTTATTCCGATAGCCCTATACATGTAAATAAACTAAAGTCATATTATTGTATTTTTTGCAATTATTTCTGTATCCGCCATGTGAATCATACATTGCAGTTTGGTATGCACTCTAAAACGGCAATTAGGCGATCTTAATTTATCAAATACTGCATTCACATTAATTCTCATCCAACCCATTAAAAGTTCTTGCAATAAAAATTCATTGAAAAATTATCTCTGTGGATTTATGTGTAGTCTACTTCTAGTCAGATACATGTATGAACAAAATATGAAATTCATTTGTATTCAGCAACTGCAAACCAGACAAATGCACTTATATACAAAAGTAAAACAAATACTGGCAGGTAAATACATGTATAAGGATAACCTGTGTTCTCCGTTTGTTTGCGTCACTTCCGGTTTCTTCAAATCTTTGTTTAAAACGCATCTACCGTAGCAAAGATATCTGGGTTAAAATTATATTTGGAATGCATTTAACCAGTTCTATCACATATTTAATATTGACTGCCGTCTTCTTCAAGTCACCTGATTGTTTTGATAGACCTACACCAGTCAATGGCTGTACATAAAAAATTTGGAGGTAATCAACAATAATCCACTAGGCTCTTCTACTCTTTATCAAGACTAGTGAAATTAACAATAATCAGCTGACTTGTAGACCAGGGTCTTTTTTCACTAAAACTTCAACTGAAATAGATTAAGAATGCAGACTTTTAATTGGTTGAGAGATGAAATCATAACACAAATTTGAGCTCTTATCCAATGGAAAAGGTGCATTCTAAAAGTTTTGGTGAATCTGGCCCGAGGCTGTAATGTAAATTAAAGTTTTAGCTAATTTTACTTCACAAACTGAAATCATTTATATTTAAGTTTTTTTGCAATATGTTTAAACAGTTATTTAGTTCTTATAAATTTCGGCCCTTATTCACGAAAACTTAAGCTAAGATACAATCGAAATTTAAAGAAATACTGCAATTCGATTGGCTGACCAATATGCAAATTGGATATATGCAAATTGATTTTACTGGTCAGCCAATCGAACTGCTGTATTTCTTAAAATTTCGATTGTATCTTAGTTTAAGTTTTCGTGAATAAGGGCCCTGATGTTTGTTTTGTTTACAAAAATTCTTAAGATGTAATTTTATATGCATGCATAAAGGAAAGAATTGGTCATGGTTCTTGGATTTAGGAAACAAATTGAGTCATCCATTATTGATGACTACTGGATGGAAGAGATTGATTTGGCTGACTGTTTAAGATTATGATTTAATCTAAGTACAATTGTGGTGTGGGGAGCCATGATGGCTCAGTCTGTAAGATACTGGCTTGTATACAAGGAGGTCTCGTGTTCGATCCCAGTGTCGGTTAAGAAACTTCCTTGAGATTTTCTGCTGTGGTTCCCCCTTGTCAATTGTGCAAGACGGTGTCTAGTCATTAAGATGGGACAATAAACGGAGCTGCCTTGTACACATTGGCATTCAGACAATTCAACAAATTTGTTTCCTAAATACAATGGGCAGACAACTCATCTATTCCATTGTTTGTTTATAGGAATGTTTGATTATGAATATAATATCCACACTAATAATATGATAAACTATTATTTTGGTTTATACTAATATGTTAGCAAAAACATTCTTTAGCTGTATTTGATTTGGACTTTATCATTTAAATGAAGTGAATGGTAAAGGTTCTAACGTCGTAACAGACTAATGGGAATGGTCGGACATCATGTAAGGGACGTTGTGCCTGTGCATAAAAGTAATGAATATTATTTTTGCACAAACCAGTCTCTTAATGTAATCTGTCTCGTTTTAATTCTAGGTTAATTTTCCAAATTAAAAAATGTATTTTGTCTCGGTTAAATATAGGGCGAATCTTTTGATATATTATGAGTATTGTCATGCTAGCAGCTCCTGATTATCTGGTTATGGTGTTTATATTATATCATGGATTGTCTAGTGTTGTTATATCATCTTTACAGTCGGTTGTATGTTGTAATAACGTTTCCTTTCATGGGATCGTGAGACTTAACGATAGCTGCGACCTAACGTCTCCTGGTGAAGATAGTCTTAAATAGGGTTCATTGTAATATTACACAATACATGTTTTTAAGACCACTGGACCTTATTTACAAACACGTAATAATGTAGCAAATTCATTGGCTGAAACTCAAAATTTTTGCTGTTGACCAATGAAAAGTCACCATCCTTAAAATTTTGCTGTTAACCAATGAAAAGGCCCCATCCTTAAAATGTTTGCTGATGACTGATGAGAAGGCCCTATCCTTAAATTTGTTTATGTTTCATTTATTAAATGTGTAACTTTTATATTCTCATCCATTTTGGTGTTGGGGGGTTAAACAGGGTTACCTGATGGGGACAACATCATTTGTCAATGTAGGTCGCACCTCACAAAACTACATAAAATAAGACTTTGATGAGAAAGTGTGAATTGTGTCTCAAAATCAAGTCGTATCATAATCCTAAATTGTTGATCAATGGAGAGATGGGAACAGCATCATTTGGTCAATACTGGGCGCACCTCCCAAAACTTCTTATAACAAGATTGAGAAAGAGGGTGTCAAAAGTTGGGTCATAATCAACTACAAAACCCCAAAGGAATGATTAGATTAAAAACTTTCGTCTATTTAATTGATTTTTTGTGAAAAGTTGTCCTTATATATGTTTTGTGTACCAACATGTTTAGTTTAAAGACTTTAAAAACAATAATCCATCAAGGAAGGATTTGGAAATCGTTGACAACAAGAGTTAAAAATTAAACAAGACTTGTATTCGTTGTAGCCAAATTGGACGCAGTTTGGCCTGGATCAACCAAGACTAATGTTGATATAAAGGTGTGACGCGAATGTGTTATCTGAAGGGCCGTTGATTTTACGAATTATATATTTTATCAGTTTAAGCGTAATATTAGAATATGAATCCCTTATATATATATATCCCTGCATGTTATTATTGTTTTTCAACTATTTTTACCAATGTAATATAAATATTATTTTAGGATTGTTAGAATTAAATTTCGATTGTTTTTTTTTTTTTAAAGAATTAATTAATACATAATGTTTTTTTTTTTTTTAATTATAATAAATTTGTATGTTTTATTTGTAATAATATGTTAAACTATTATAATTATATATCATGTAATAATGTCTCATTGTGATTTCTATATATACTGAGTGCCTTTCATAATTAAATCCTTTATTAATCACCTTCAAAACGACTTATCTTGTTTCTACAGGGATAGGAGATGGTCTTACAGGATCTTGTTATTCAATTCTCTTTTCTACTTTATCTAAATCTAGCATAATTTTAAAACTTTTAAATGGATGTACTGAGAATAGGTGTTAATAAAGTTATTGCGCAATTGCAGTAGCAGTGATGCAAATCGACATTGAAAATGGGTCCTTTAATAGCCCAAGGATAGTGTTATTTTTTCTAATATCCGGCATACTTAATTACATTTCTAAGAAATTTAACCACAAAAAAAATGGCCATCACTAAACGCACTTTAAAGGATAACACATAAGGTTTTTCTCCTTAAAAAAGAATAGCAAAATAATCCATGGATGCTAAATGCTGGTTTTGAAGTTTGTTGGGTGTCCAAGTTGTCTAACATGTCCCATGTTGTGGTCTGTAGATAGCAGTGTCTGCCATCGAGGCACGTCATGGGAGGATCTGTTATTATGAGAAGCCACAGGGTGACTCCCCTTTGTCTTTGGTGTAGGATGGAGGGCCTGCCAAGGGACAATGTATAGTCGTTGGGATGGGACGGAAAACCAAGGTCCCGTGTTCACATTGGCATGCACGTAAAAGAACTGTTGACAGTTGGAATTTAGAATAACAGTAGCTATATCTCTAACTCAATATCACCCAAAGTCTTCGACATTGAAAACACGAATTATTTGTCAATTTAAATCAACATTGATATTGTGATATTACTAGGAAAAGATGGGCTTCTGATATCCAATATTTTAGACAAAATAAACATTTTGTCATTGGTACACGAATCGTGTACCATGATGCGTTTCAGCACCATTTGTAACAAGGGACTTGAAGAACAAGGCTAGACATATTCCACAAGTCATGTCAAATGGTAATGCCATATTCTTATCTGGAGAGCATGCGCAATAAATACTATCAGTGTAGACTGGTATAACCAGATGCTAGAGACTGGCATTCGATTGGGACTTCTGGCGTATTTTGATGAACATAACTGATTAGAAATTACAATAAATCAGTTTATATCCATTCATACTACATTATTTTATGTGTTGCAACCCAATTTGTGCCCATTTCTAAGTCACAAATATTAGCGATTTAGCTTCTTTAAACTCCAGTTCATTTCATTTCAATACATTTTTGTTGTTACCAAGGTCCGATTACAATTCCATGGAACCCCTGGATGAGAATGCCACTGGGGCTTGTGCACCACAATTGAAAGTGGGGCATATTCTGGTCATTGCCTGTCACACACACACACACACCACCACACACCATCACACACATGCACTTTGTATGTCAATATGGTAAATATATAGATTTATTTGGCATAAACATACACAACATAATACATAACATATTTATTTATGGTACAAATTCTTTTTTAGAACTAATTTGGGTCTTCTTTAATATTGGGGTCCCTTTAATATTGGCCTAGTTATGACTGAACAAGGAGAGAAAATAAGGATTATCTATAAATAGGTCATGTTTATTTTTAACACTAGGTATTCATCTTTAAGTGGCCTGTGGATAGAAATTCAAAAGAGATGAGATCATATATATTTTATACCTTAAACATAAGGCCAAATTAAAAAATACCCTGTGATTTACGGTTACTTGTTCACAGAAAATAGGGTTGGTCACCCGGAAATTCTTTGTATTTTTATTAGTATAATTTTTTTTTCCTTTACCAAGTGGCCCGTAGGTTTGTGAACTCTTAATAGTCGATAAACAAAGGTAATTTTTGTTTTGGCCTAAGATAGCATATCATCTTTTCTACTTTATGATAAAAACCCCACCTCCACAAAAAATGTTGTAATAATCTATCCAAATTACACAAACCCACAGAAATTTTCCAATGCAAATCACAGTCATTATTATCACATTTCATTATGTAAAGGTTTTTGGGGACAATGATATCATTTTTTTTTTAATAAGAAGATAGCTTTGAAGGAGCATGTTCAGAAACTCTGAGACTTTAATATTTCTGTTTATTTAGGTGCAAACATGCATAGGATTAGAATGGAGTGAGGTAAAAATTGCCACAATGATTGTCATGTTTGTTTGTAAGATGCTATTTCGTTGAATGTAGAAGAAAAAAGTATACTTCCTCTGGACACACAACTACATCCACTTATACAGACAAAAAAGGGTGGGGGAGGGGGGTTGAAAGGACTTACTAAACATTGGACAATGTTCTGTAATGTATCATTTTTATGGCATGAAATGAAATACTGTTCTGTAGAAACTTGACTAATGAAGCCGACCAAATACCACACAGTGTGCTATGAAGTAATATTTGCCTGGACAACAGTGCTAAGGCCTACTCTTATTTATAGAGTCACAACAGCCAACTAGGTCATTTTGGGACTAACACATGGTTTAATTTTATTTCAATAATTCGCTTGCGCGTAGGGGTCTTTAGCAGTGGGAGGAAACCGGAGGACCCGGAGAAAACCCACGAGGTTGGACAGGCGACCCTACTCCTTGCCACGTACAACTGGGGATTCGAAACCACGCCAGTTGACTCAATGACAGACTTTATGGTACAGCGCGCACGTGCTAACCATTCAGCCACCCAACCCCCCAGCCAAGCAGGACTGGTTTATGGCACATTTGATCAATTTCCCCAAATTGGGCTCTGCACTAGAAAGGGGCCCTCCAGCTCACCAACTTAAAACTTTTTCTTAAATATGAATGAATATAGGCCTAGTTAAAGTTATTCATATTCTGCAATGTATTCATATCTTGTAACTACAGGCCTCCCAAATTGTCCCCTGAATTTTCTGAAATGAAAAGAAATGGGAGATAACGTCCTACTGTTCTGCTCCTAAACTGGGCTAATGAAGACGGGCATATGTCATACAATGTGCTATGAGGGAAATTTTGCCCGGGCAGCGGCGCTACGGCCTACTCTTATATCGAATTCCAACTGCCAAGGGATCTTTTACGTGCACGCCAATATGTACACGGGACCTCTGTCTTTCGTCCCATCGAACGACTAGACAGTTGTCCTTGTCAGGCCCTCCGTCCTGCATCACTGACAAGGGGAAACCACGCCGGAAACCTGAATTTTCTACAACTGACCCTGCAGTCAAGGGTTGTAATACGTACATGCCAATGTGTACAGGGGACCACAGCTTTTCGACCCATCCAAAGGATTACACAGTACCGTTCCTTGCCCTACCCAATCTGATTAAAATACAGATCTATATTTCATTTCGTATTTTTTATACTTTCGATGGCCTACACAACATGAAGATCTGACAAGTTGTACTCGATGGTTGTGTCGTACGATCGGCCTATGACGTTATCAATTGATTTCAATGAGCGTAAGACGCTAGCTCGTTAACCAGGTCTACGGTTTGCTCCTGGTGTTGGCCTAGGTGCCTTTTCACGAAAATTTAAACTAAAATATTTTAAAACTGCAGCCTTTTCATTGGCTAAGAGCTAAAATTTGTACTAGGATTTAAAATCTCAACCAAATGTTTGTGAATTACGCCCCTAGACAATTCCCTGGAATTTACCAGTGTGGTGCAGGTCAGAGGGCCTGGCAAGGAAGCGTTTAGTCATGGGGATGAAACGAAAAACTGTGCACATGTTGTGTTCATGTAAATTAAACCCTTAGACAATGTAAGGGAAATAACTCTTGTTTATAGCTTGGGTTCAGACTAGTAATTCATTCATCCAAGCCTTCGATGTTAAAACTCTATGACATTTTTTGGCCTATAACTTTTTATTTGAACATGCCGATGATCTTAATTTCTATAACCACAATAACTCCAACATGTCACAATCATAAAATACAAATATATTTTGCTAGGCCTTGTCAAAATAATCTATAGTCATTTAGTAGGCGGTCACACTAATTCTTATGCCAGTTTACTTCCGCCCCCAAATCATGAATTTTTACCAAAACTTTCTTCGATTCTATACTACTAAAACGTCAACAAAACTTCTCGTGAAAAAGTGGAGAAAGGGAGAATAACTGTAAACAGAGGAACCAGTAATCGTAATTAGTGGTCGGTGTCCATTTTTTAATACCCGACTTCTTGGAAAGGTTTGGTGATGTCCGGGGTCAACTCCTTTACTGTATGCCCACCAAGACTCACGTATAGGTCCTAGTACCCAAAGCCCAGCTTAACCGGAGCGGGGCCCTAACGCGACGAAAAGATTATTTCATATCCTTTTGAATGGCACGCATGTGTAACACACAATTAAACGGCCTGTAATACAAGAATAATTACATAATATCTGATCACATACGAAATCTATTCAGTTCCGTAGGCATACAATGCGCGGAAATAACGGTGGGGAACCGTTATAACATTAAAATCACCGGATTGAGTTGTTACAGAGTTCAAACAATTTGTGTCTTTGTTTACGACTCTAGACCGATCACCGAGTGGAACTTTACAGAGAAGGTTGAGGGATAGCTTAGTCTCCGCCCTCGCGCCGCTAGATCGATCACCGTGAAACTTTCATCTGGAATTTGATTTGTTTTCTCTTTTTGCCATGAAGCGCAGGGCCTCCTAAACCGCGGGGCCTTGGGCCTGGTGCCCCTCAGGTCCATGCCTAAGCTGGACTTTGCTAGTACTCAGTGGATTGCAGAGGTTTGGTGATGCCCGCAACCATCTCCTTAACTGCATGCCGCCACCCCTCCAAGACTCAAGTATAGGTCCTAGCGTACTCAGAAATACGATAATGGAAGACATCTTTTGATATGTAAAATCAGATGATATAAACTTTTTATTCCAATTAACGCCACTGGGGTACTGACATGGACATGTTGTCCAGTGGACCGGGTCTTTGGATGGGATGAAAAGTCCAAGATAAGTCTAATCATGTAGGACGTTAAACCACATTTTATTTAATTACCTGAGTGTTTAAGAGTATGATTTATTTATAATCAAATACAATTATGATGTCGCAGGCTTGCTAGCCTGGAGGTCGGGTGTTCGATCCCTGCATTGGCCGAGAA